TTAGCACCTACCTATCATGCCTTGATAACATTAAAGGTTCAAAATGCCAAACAACGTTCAAAAAGCTTTGGGAAACCTCAGTGGAAGCTATTGTCAGGGACGGATATACAGCTGACTTTCATAAGGAAAAAGACTAGTTGAATGTAAATGAATTTTCTCAATTAAATACAACATTAATGATATTGTGAATAGATTCAAAGCTTGTTTGGTGGCCAAAAGTTTTACCCAATCATATGGATAGACTGTAAGGAGACATTAGTTGTTAAATTGAACTCTATTCATGTACTACTACCCTTGCAACAAACCTAATAACACCTATATCAATTTGATCTTAAAAACTTTTTTTTCAATTATGATCTTGAAGAAATCTATATAAATGTTCATCTTGGACTTGAGAGTCAAAGTAAATATTGGCAAGATATGCAAACTTTGAAAATCTTTATATGGTATGTAAAAATCACCGCTTGCATGGTTTGACCGATTTTCAATAATGGTTAAGATAACACTACGTTCATAAAGCATATGTCAAATTACAAGATTGCATATTGATTGTTATGTTGATGAAATTATCTTTTAGAAATGATGAGAGAAAAATAACAAACTTAAATTATTGATGAAAAAAGTGACATTAAAGATTTGGGACAACTTCTATATGTCCTTGGTATAAAAATTACCCAATCAAAGGATGGAATTTTTGCATCTCAGTGAAAGTATGTTCTTTATATACTTAAAGAAAATGAGATGTTGGGATGTAAACCAATGGGAACACAAATTAATGGATCCAAATATTAAGATAGGCCCTAAGAATGGAAGTCCTATTGATAAAAGAAGATAGAAGATAATTCTGGAGAAATTAATTTATCTTAGGACAAATTTTAAAACTAATGACATTAATAACTTTTCTTATTAAAAAGTAAATCTAAAAAAATTAAAATACAGCTATTGTTTAATTAATAATTTTTCCATTTAAGTACATCCTTTACAATGATCTAAATATCACCAGCTATTGTTTTCCACCAAACTTTAGCTTCCACATTCTCAGTTAATCTTTAAATCTTGAATCTTATTCTCAAAAATATATTTATTAGTATTCTTTAAAAGTCTCTATCTAATCCTAAGATAATTTTTTATTTTATTGTTCATATTTCACTCCTTCATTTTAAAGTCCAAAACTAATAGGTAATGTTAGGTACATAAACTTTTACTAATGATAACTTTATAACATTTGCAATTTAAACAATCTAATTTTCTAATAAGAAAATAATTAATTTGAGTTTTACTATATTTATTCTTATTAGTAATGAGATACTCCTCTCTTTTCTTAAATAAGATATTAGCAATTATAAAATCATAAACTAGAACAAAATCTAATATGGACCTAGCATCTTCAATAGTCACTCCAAGCCCAAGCCATCACAAATATTTTTAAAATCTTCTACCACTTTACCATCATATCCATTTAAATCTCCTCTAACAAAAATATTTTCTTCAAGAGCTATCATTTGTATTAATTCTTCTAAGTCATTCTAAAATTTTAATTTTGAACACATATTCAAACATATTTGATAAGCATAAGCACTTATAACATTAATAATCTTAACATCAATAGTAATCTTTAAAACTATAATTCTATCTCCAATAATATTAATTTCTACAAAATTATCCTTCAAACACTTATCTATAATCACACCAACACAATTTTTAATATGAATACCTAAATACCATAATTTAAATCCCAAACTATAAACTCCTCAACCTTCTCTCCAACCCATTTAGTTTCCTAAATGTATAGAATATTAATGTCCACATAAATCATATTATCTATTAATTTCATTTATTTCTCTCCTAGTTTTTATCCTAATTCTACAAATAATAAATTAAGAAAATAAAAAATATAATAAAAGAAAATAATCTTAATAATAAAAATATATTACAATAATAATGACAATAGATTATTACTTACCATAAATATTAGAAATGCATTCTATTATTACATGTCAATAAAAAATTTCAATAACTTTAACATAAATAACAAAATTAATTTCATATTAATTTTATCATTAATATAAGATCTAGTGATGCATTCATGATTTTAAAATGAATTGGAAAACTTTCATAAAAATTAATGAAAACAAAGAAAAATAATATTTATATTTTGATTTTCGTACTTATAAAGTTTGCTCTAATATTGCCAAGTGCTACAAAAACGTTCAAACAAGCATTCCCTATTATGAAGAATGTAAAGAATCATTTGTGCAGTCATATGAAATACTTTTGGATGAATAAATATTTGATTACTTATATTAAAAATGGTATATTTTTTAATATTCATAATCAAATTATTGTAAAAATGATTTCAAAATGTGAAAACTCAGAGCGAGACACCGTAGGTGATATTTAAGAAGAATATGAAAAACAGGCGTGCGCTCACAATTTAAGTTTTTTTCCTTTTAATATAATATTTTTATAATAACAACTCTAACAAAAAAAATTCAAGGCCATTAACATCAATCCCGAGTTATAATGGTTAATGGTATTTTTAAAATCGATAATTTATGCTCCCACAAGATAAAAATCCTGATACCGCCCTAATTGTTAGGCATATAAAGGCTATTACCTCTACTCAATAGTTATTTGAATGTGCTAGATAATTGGTTCTTATCATGCAGCTACTCATTAGGTGGCTTCATGATTCTAAGGGTTGACCCAAATAAATCAAATGATGGGCCCGTGATCGTTGAACACCATTTGCCCTATTGAATTTGAGGTTCACACAATAAACTAATAAAATGATGATAATGCGTCTCAAAAAAGGGGCCAAAACTATCTCCACAAACACAATTAAAGATAGCATATGATCACAAAAAATCATAGACAAACACACCCTTGGCCAAGGTGAGTAATGTAGCTATAAAAGATTGTTAAAGCAAGCTTTATAAGTCCATAGCATTTTTGGGTACGGTATCTAATTTGTTTTCTTATTTCCATTGCCTTAGAAAAATCACAAGATGCATACCAAACTTGTTAAGAATGATGAGGATTGGATAGCATCATGTTCCACATTTATGTACTTGTATATCATTATGTATGTGCATGTGCAAATATATCATACTTATAATTGCAAATGCATCCAAGTGGGAGTCTGCAACAGTATCTGTAATCATATATGTACATGACTAAGCTGGTATTCGAATTCAAATGTGTCATGATATGCATGTTTGAAGGTATGGGGTATGAACAGTATACAGACAGTTGTAGTATATATCAATGAATTGGCTCTGTCGGTGCCTAGGTATGTGTGGCATTACGCATATGCCACGTGTTGATTAATATATTTTTATGTGTACTAATTTATATAGTAATCTCTTGAATGATCAACTAACAAGTAACAAGAATTCACCAAAGCATGGAGTACACCAAGTTTGGGAAGTTTTAACTTTATAATGATTAATCCTAGAACTCTAACGTTTAGAATGATTCCTAGCTCTACGGAATGCTAAGAGAATACTCCTAATTTCCAACAATATAATGAAAAATAATTCAAGCATTCAAAGCTGAACATCCTTCACACATTCACGGAGTGCCAAAATATGCCTTATAGTATAATCATAGCAGCTGAATCATTCTTTACCCTTAGAGCCAACTTCAAATGGTAACGATGTACTCAGTGATCGAAGTCAAGAATTGAAACAGATGACCAAAAGCAGAAAGAATTATGATTTCCTTAAACCTTTTGATAGGTTAAGAGAAGACTACTTATTTATAGTGGTATCTGCAGTACAGAGACATGATATAGAAAGAAGTTAGCAAAAATCTGTTGAGACAAGTAGTCTCAATGCTTCTCACTGATGCCCAAAAATGGTACCTCGTGTGAAAGAAAAAAAAAGTTGAATTTCTTTTAAGTACTTATAATTTTTTCCGCTCGATAAGAATTTCTGGGCTCCATTTTCCATGATGATTGCTTCAAAAGGGCTTTGCCTCTGTTTTCATATATTATTACCCGAATGAATAAACAAATAACAAAGAAATCCCTTACCAGCATAACTACATGCTTTGGTTTGCAAGAATTTTTTGCGTTGATGAAAGCACAAAACCTGCATGATCTAAGTCAGCCAAATTTGTTGCTCTCCCATTATCCACTTTCAGAAGACTGTTTATGCTCTCCAAAGTTGAACAAGCTGTAGTTAATTGGAATGCACCAAGAAGTTACTCTAACTAAAAACATCACTCATGTCCCTCCAAAGACAAATGGAAATTTCAAAGGAATTGAACAAAATAGGCTAACATCTCATGCCGCACTCAGCAAGGTTCATAAAGCTCAACCCAAATAGTTGGGATGATGAAATGATGACGATGAACTATTGTACCGAGGACCCGACATACTAAGGCTAGAAATCTCTGCACCATGAACTTTATACAACAGAAAATTTGTAACTCAAAGAACCAATACACAAAATAAGAATAGCCTTCCATGGCATATCATTTGCCGTTGCAAAGCATGTGGCATTTAAAATTTTCTATCACATCCAACATATTTATAAACCAACACAAAGAGAAATCAACTGCTAAGCTACAGTTCTCCGCTTAAGAAAGTACATTTCAAGGACAATGTGGAAATGGATGAAAGTGCATGCCCATATACCTACATTGAAAAATATTACACTCTAAAAGTTGGGATTTTTATTTCTCCAAAGGCAAATAAGAAGGAAGAGTAAAAACCCCTTAAATCTTCCATCGTAGCCGCTGTATGGCAGTTGTATGTAAAGGGAAAACCATAGGTATAACACGATAACTCAAGATAACGCTCGCTAAGGCAATGCCAACAAGAAAACGGTTTAGAAACCGTACCCACAAACGCTAAGAGCCTCTTTTTCACCTACATAAAGATATACCTTAAATAAAGGGAAAAGGTTCGAGCAAAAAAGAACAAAAATGGGAAAAATAAACGACAGAAATCACCAGCATTGTCCGAGAAAAGAGAAACACAGAAGCATACTTACCTGAAAAAATCGATTCCATGGCAAACGGATCTTCCCCCGAGGAGTTGAAAAGGCGCCTCCTTTCTTAAGCCAAAGGCTCCATGAAAGAGATAGGAGGAAGGAGGCGGACTTCCATAAGGAAAGATACGAAGGGGAGAACAGAGGGAAAGAAAGAGAAAAAGGGTTGAGTGAGAGCGAGAGTAATGGAAGAGTAATGAGAGGGAGAAAAGAGAAAAAGGGGGAGTTGGGATACTGCAAAATTATATTATAGTTTACCACAAATGGAAAAGCATGCCATTGGCGCTGCTGACGGAGAGGAGTGGTTGGTGCGTCCAGCGAGCCAAAAGATAAAGAGAGAGAGAGAGAGAGAGACCGTGCCCTTTGGTTATTTCGAATGGGGAAAACCGGAAAAAAAATCGTGCGTCTCCTCATGCAAAGCGAACGCACTCTCTTATGCAGCGCTTTTAAATAAAACCGGACCGGACCGGCCGGTTCAACCGGTTGAACCGCGAACCGGCTGGCCAGCCGGTTACGGTTCGCCTGAGAACCGTTTTCGCGTCGAACCGGCCTCGGACCGTTCGAACCGCCGGTTCGACCGATGAACCGGAAAACCGGCTCCGATTTCTCAGAACCGTTTTCGCTTCGCGTCGAAGGGTTGGCTTCACTGGCGGATGCTGGCCCCCACTGATTTTGGTTTGAACATCAACTGACTTTGGTATAACATCAAATTAATATTATTTATGATGTTTCAAATATATGATAAATCAATTATTTTCTTACCTTTTTCGTCGACCCTCTTCAATTCACAAAATATATTTATTAGAACAAAATCGTGCAAAGTTCGCAAGTCTACACTTCCCATACTCGTCCCACCCATTAGAAGCCTCAAGCTGGCATCGTCTGTTAAACGGCTGAATATGCATTTGTTTATATATAAAAAAGTACATCAACTCCACACGGTGTGGGACTAAACCCCACAGCTTTTTGCCCTTTTTTGTTTTCCTATGGCCATGAGGAGATTAGCTGGAGAATAAAGTCAAAAAAATGAGGAGAGAGAGAGAGAGAGAGAGAGAGAGAGAGAAAAGCGGTTTAGTAACTTTTTTTTTTTTAAGCTTAAGTCACTTTTTTTTTTCCTTCTAATAATTAGTTATATTACAAAAAGTAAAAGTTAGAGATATGTCTAATGTATACTGTTAAAATTAAAAATATTAAATTAGTAAAAAAAATTAAATTAGTAGATTTAATTGTATTTATTTTTAAAACTCTAATTGATCCTATATGATTTTCCTTTAGATTTAAATGTTTGAATTTATTTGACTAACATTTCACTATTATATAAGTAAAAGTATTATAATTTTTTTCAATTTTTGTTATATATTTATAAATAATTGTGTCATTATTATAATATTTAAATATAATAAATATTTATTACGTCGTCCGGTTCGACCCCGGTTCGACCCCGGTCGAACCATCAAACCTCTAACCCCTCCTTCTTCCGGTTCATTGACCGGTCCGGTTTTAAAAGCCTTGCTCTTATGAGCTATATCGGCATTGCTGAAGAAAAGTGGAAAACTATTTACACGTAATACTTAAATTCTAGTGAAATGGGCTGTACTGTGTTTCATTTAAAACCGCCGGTCTATCTCATAAGTGGATGAAAATTTTTCAAAATTGATGGGACGTTAATTAAATATTTGAATTGAATTTTATGAAAAATTGTCTAAATTTAGTTGAGAGTTTAAGAAAATCCACAACTCTCCTTGGCCTATTGGTTGAGAGCTTAGGCTTCCAACTAAGAGGTCCAAGGTTCGAGTCTATGTGTATGCGTTGTGTGTATGAATTTGCCTTTATTGACCTAAATGTCCAAAAAAAAAAAGAGTTTAAGAAAATCGGATCGGACGTAGAATCTAAAAAAAAATTAGAATTCTATAATTTGATCGGATTGAACTAAGGTTAAATTGGATGAAGTAATAAATATAAAAATTATTTAATAAAATTTAATTGATAGAATAATCATGTAATAATATAAATATTTTATTAAAATAAATTAAATTCACAAATTAATATTATCTTGTATAATTTTAAATTTAAACATATTCAATCTTTAAATTTAATTCAAATTAATAAAAAATAGCTTATAAATTTATAAATTAATGTAAAATATTATTAATCTATGTTATATGTTTAGTATAATTATATATTAAATTCATATTATAAATTTACATTTATAAATTATTAAGATTACATTATTTATTATTTATAATAAAATATTTATTTAATTTTATAATACATAAATAATAAATAAATTATATAATTTATTTAATATTATTAATTAAAAATAAATGATGTTTATATGATAAAAAGATTAATTAAAAATATAAACTTAAGAAATATGAACTTCAATTTATTTAGTCATATATCACTTAGAAACTTCCTCTTGATAATGTTTATATTATTTTTTGGGATTTGGATGAGATAAGAACTCATATGAAGTAATAGAGTCAAGTGAACTACTTAGCTAGAAATTCTTTATTAAAAAATTAAGCATTTTAAATTTAAATTAATTTATTAAATTATAAGTATGAATTAATATTTTTATTCTTAAATGTATTAAATTAATTTATTTAATTATTTAAATAATTCAAAAATTGAATTGGCCGATTCAAGGGAACTAGGACCAGTTCGTCGGTTGAGCTAGCGATTATGGTCAGTTCAACCTAGTTTGATACATAAACAATTTCCAGGATGAACTGAAAAGGCTTTAAGATCAGTTCACGATTGAACCAATCGGACCGACCAGTCCGGTTCGAATTTTAAATCTCTGGTTAGTTTTAGTATTCTATCATAGCAATTCTAATAATTGGTACACCCTAAATTTTATATGGTGCTAAGGAGAGAGAAATATATATGTATAAGTTACACAAATAAAGAGATAAGAGTAGTAAGGATTTAGTTCAAGTGAAGTGTATTAAGAATGTATATCAAAAAGTACTTTTCTTACAAGATTATATTCAACAAATGCGGCTAAGATATTTTGCTTAACTTTTTAATGAAGATTGTGAGAATACGACTGACTTTAGTGACCTTAGCATCTTAAATAAAATAAAAATTTAAATTTTTATCGGCGTATTAGTAAAACCAAATTTAAAAAGGTTTTAAAGAAAATGAATGGTGAAAAAGCTATTTGGATCTGATGATATTCCAATAGAGGTGTGGAAATGCTTATAAGATAAAGGAATTTCTTTGCTTGCTAAACTTTTTAATACTATTTTGAAGACTTATAAAAATATGTCAGATAAGTGGAGAATGAGTACGTTAATTCCTATTTTTAAGAATAAAGGTGATGCACAAGATTGTGCGAATTATAAAGGAATTAAGTTAATGTGTCATACTTTAAAACTATGGGAGTGAGTTTTGGAGAGTAGGTTGTGGCGTGATACTAATGTTTCTCAAAATCAATTTGGATTCATGCCAGGTAGGTATACTATGGTACATTTATTGAGAGGTTTCATAGAGAAATATAGAGAGAATAAGGACGATATACATATGATATTTATTGATTTATAGAAAGCATATGATAAAGTTCCAAGAGAAGTGCTATGGAGAGTTCTTGAAAAGAAAGGAGTTAATAATGTTTATATTCAAATCATTAAAGATATGTATGCATGAGCAATTTATTGTGTTCAAATACAAGGTTGTTTGACCAAGCATTTTCCTATTTCGGTTGGATTAGATCAAGGATCAACCTTAAGCCCATCTCTTTTTGCATTAGTCATGGATGTTCTCACTAAACATTTGCAAGAGGATGTACCTTGGTCTATGCTTTTTTCTAATGATATTCTTCATGTTGATAAGACTAGAGAGGGAGTTGAAGGTAAACTTGAATTATTGAGGTCAACCCTAGAGTCTAAAGGTTTTCGCTTGAGTAAATCTAAAACTGAATATATAGATTGTAAATTTAGTAGTAATAGACCTAGTGGGGGGATTGTGACTTTGGACGATCAAGTCGTTAATAAGAGTACACATTTTAGATATCTTTGATCTGTTGTTCAGAGTGATGTTGAAATTGATGGGGATATTATCAGTAGAATTAATTTGGGCAGTTGAAGTGGAGGAATGCATTGGCCTTGTTGTGTGATAGAAAAGTCCCCCTCAAACTTAAGGGAAATTCCATAAGATGGTGTTGTGACGTACAATGCTTTATGGTGCATAATGTTGGCCATTAAAAGAGAAGCATAATACTAAGTTAAGTGTTGCAGAGAAGATGATGCTCAGGTGGATGAGTGGATTTACCCTTAGAGACGTGATAAGAAGTGAGCAGATACATGAAAAGGTTGGAGTAGCTCCATTAGAAGACAATATTAGAGAGAGTCGCTTTAGATGATTTGGTCACATAATACGATGGCCTTCCGATGACCAGATTAAGAAAGTAGAGGTATTAGATTTGACTTATATTAAGAAAGGTAGAGGTAGTCCTAAAAAGGTTTGGTTAGGAAATATTAAAAATGATCTTTCTTTATTAGATTTAAATGAGAATTGACTTGTAACTGGACACAATGGAGAAAAATGATTCATGTAGCTGACCCCACGTAGTGAGACAAAAGCTTGATGTTGTTGTTGTTGTTGTTGGTACACCATAATTTATGTTTTTTTGAATATATGAGTGAACTTAAAATTTAGCACTAATTTGTGGTTTGGAGAAACAATATTCTTCAATCATTAGGCATGAATCCTTTTACAATGCATCATAATTTGAATTACTGCATGTCATGAGGAAAACATATTTTATTGGATATCACTTAGTGTTAATATGAATAGTCTACTTCAATTTAACATAATTATTGTAAAATGCCAAGAACATTTCTTCAAATGATGTATTCTATTTTTTTAATTATGATGAAGCTTTAGTGATTATAAAAACTTTTATTTGATCAATTACAATCTTTTGTGTGTATTCCAATTAATATTTATATCATATTCATAATGGATTATCTTATAGTAAAGTATGATTTAAAAAATATTCTTCTCATCAGGACACGTTCATTGACATTTAAATTGCATGAATCGGTGTTAGTTTGGAGGTTAAGTTAGATATAAAATCTTCAATGCTAAATTGCCACGCTTTATATTTCAATGAATGGTCATATAAAAGTTTTGATTGTCATAATGATTATTCATCATATATAACTCTGTAATATATAACGACTAATATATATATATATATATATGATAGCATGTGCATATTGATTGATGGAGCATACTCTCTTATAGTACTAGATAGAAACATAATGAACTCGCACGTATAAATAAAAAAGGTTTTGGAAAAAAAATGAAAAAGTAACTACCTTGATTGTTACTATTTTAGACGATGGCTGGCGTGGCGGTTGTATTATTTAT